TTTTTATCTATAAAATTATTTATTATTTTTATTTATTATTTATAAAAATATATCTCTTTATACATTTATTTTATATATATATATATATATATATAAAATAATTCAAATTAACACGTACCTTGGCCAAACACTTTTTATCATCTGCTTTGTAAATTTATTATTTGATTTTTTTCAATAATTTTAATATTATTCAGTATTAATTAAATTAATTTTGTATTAATAATTAAATTAAATTTACTAATTTAATAATAAATTAAATCAAAAAATATATCTACGTGTACCACCGGTGGTACAGGTGACCTAAGAATCAAGTTTAACGTGTACCATCGGTGGTACACGTGGCATGGGGAACGTGTTAATAAATAAACAAATATAATAATAAAAAATTTAAAAAAAAGAACCCCAATAAATATACGAAAATACGCTGATACCGTTTGTGGTGAAAGGGGTAAAAAAAGAAAAAGAAAAAACACAAAAAATGAATTATTCGAGTTATACTACGTTATAATATTGATACAAACAATATATACATATATATATATATATATTTTTTTTTCTTGGTTTTCCCCGCATGGGATTTCATTTTCACAGCACAAACTGCAGTCGGTGAGGTTCTAGTTTTATCAAAAATAACTAGAAGCGAGATGGGTGCTTATCTTTGTATAGCAAGCAACGGAGTACCACCAACGGTTAGCAAACGAATAATGTTGCACGTACATTGTAAGTATTACAATATTTCATCATCTTTATAATAACATAATCATTCTAAACAATAATAATAGTAATAATAATAATAATAATAATAATAATAATAATAATATATTTGCTTTATTAGTAAAACTCATTAAAATTCGATATAAAACATGTACCTCATATTATTTCATAATTTCTCACGCTATTATTTAATATAAAAATATATATTATGAAAATAAAAATATATATTATTAAATAATATATATTATATATTATATTGATAATTATTTAATATTAATATAATTATAATATATAATATTATAAAATTTATATAATATATAATATAATACAATATAATATAATATAATATAATATAATANATATAATTATAATATAATATTATAAAATTAATATAATATATAATATAATATAATATAATAATATAATATAATAAAATAATATATAAATATAATATAATAAAATAATATATAAATATAATATAATAAAATAAATATATAATATAATTAATTGTATTATAATATTAATATAATATATATGTATATATATATATATATATATATACCTCATATTATTTCATAATTTCTCACGCTACTATTAAATATATATAAATGTAGGTGTATGGGTGTGTTTGTGTAAGTGTGTATTGTGATTCCATAGAAGATATCCGAGTAATTCCATCGAAATGGGTTAATTGTCTGCAAATACAGTCGGTAGAGTACCGAGAATTTGATCTATTGATGTATAATCCGCGTACACTCGCGCTTAGAGAGATATTACCTGCACAACCTTGTTGTTTCCTAATCCCGCAAACACTATTAATCATCTATTCAAGATAGTACGCAGTTTACCAGACCTCGACTATACGTTGCCGCTCCTCCATTCGTCGTTCTAGTCGTCTTTTATCGTATTTCTATAATCCTATCATTTCACCGTCGTTGTTCTCTTCGTATATCTGTAATCTTCCTCCCTTTCTCCTTTCCCTTTCCCCCTACCCTTTCCCTTATCTTACCTTTCTTTATTTGTAATAGTCTCTTAATTCTCAGAATAATCGAAATGAGATGTAAACAAAAATAATAGGAAAAAGAAGAATATATATATATGAGCCGTTTATTTTGAAAGTGGCCTAACTCTATTTATGTTTGAATCGAGATATTGAAGGGTTTGCATTTCAATGCAATGAAAAAAAATATACGTACAAGATATTAACGAGTTATACTGCTTAAGTGTATCTAAAGGCTTCAAATTTATATTTCCTATTAAAATAGTGGCAATTATTTAGTAATTAATATGCGTTTTCTAATCACGAATGGAGTTAGGCCACTGTCTACATCAACAATTTGATTTGTTATACAATTTCAAAGGGACTTAACTCCATTCAACCTAATTTAAGATGCTTTAAATTGAAAAAAAACAATACTCAATTTATTTTACATATCTTTAAAACATTTCAGAAACATAATATTTATGCGATTCCAAACATTTTTTAACTACATAACGTACAAAATTACAAACATAACCTACAAAACAATTTACTACTCATCTATATCTTGTGTGTGAAAGGGATTTGAAGAAATCATGATGTTCCGATGGTATATATCGTAATAGATTAATTATGTCCTTGAATTTTACTGTTGTAATTTGTCTGATATTTTATATAATGGTGTCAATACAATACTTTCGAACTTTTTTGATCTACCTCAACGTGATAATAAATTCAGGATTTTCAAATTTTCATTCTCATTCATTGATGTCTTATAAAAAATTTTATATGGTTCATTTCTGACAAAACGCACCCAACATATTTTTTAACCAATTTATTGATTCTTCATTAGAATTCTTTACCCTTTTAAAAATTGCGTCTTCTAATAATTTTGTTCATACAATAACTTTTTGTCTCATTTTATTTATCAATAAAGTACTTATCATATTTACTTGGAATATAAGCAACCTCAAATGCTTTATTGATACATAACATGAAGTTGTACAATAACCACGTGCAATCGGAAAATAATACTTGACAAATGGAGTTAGGCCACTATGAAAATAAACTTTTCATCATTTCGTTGATCGGCAAATTTTCTTGTTACAAAATCTTCATAATTTTAATTACATTTGTAACAAATTGCTTCAGAATAAAAAGATCATGTAAAAATGTAACTATTAAGGTGCGATTTCATGCTGACGCTTGACGCTAGCTTTGAGCGTCAAATTTGACCACATTATATAATTTCGATTGAAGTGCCATCTACATAAGAAGCAACGATAAAGCTGAAAATATTTGAGCTTTAAATTAATTAACTCTGGTATCATTTACTTGACGCTAAAAAAGTAAAGATACAGGCAGTTGCGCTTGTTAGATATTATTTAATAATTATTTACGAAATATTATAATATATAACATATTATGGATTTTGAAGAGGTAATACCTATAACAATTCTCTGTTTCATATAAATTAAACAAATCATTGTTTGCTTTGTAAAAAATTAAATACTACATTCTCACCTATTGATACTCATAAAAATATAAACAAATATTTTAATATGCCTTACATGTTATACAAAAAACAAATGGTCATTAATAAATTGCATTGATAATGTTCATCTTCTTACAAGTATTTTATAAATTATTATTTTGGCACTGTTAATTGTACTGTGTTGTTGTTGATCCGAATAGGTTAGGGAATAACATAAATCGATAAGTCAACTTTCGATTTTTGTTACTTGTAAAACGCTATTTTAATTCGTCAATGTTGCTTGACACTTGACGCTCAGATTTGAAGCTGCTTCTTATCTAGATGGCACTTCAATCGAAATTATATAATGTGGTCAAATTTGACGCTCAAAGCTAGCGTCAAGCGTCAGCATGAAATCACACCTTTACGGTAACTAACTCGATTTTTTTTGGAAAATGGACTTAGGCCACTTTCAAAATAAATGGCTCATATATATATATATACTAGGGATGCCCCGGCCACGGGTTGCTGTGGCTAATAAATATATAGATAGATCTGAATCTACGCACATAACATTTGTCACATAACATTCTTTTTCTCTTTTTTCTTAATATCGAACCAACTGCGCATGAGCGATAACATAAGATCACCACTTACTTCACATCATATAATTTTTACATTGTCTGAATATAGGCACATATATCATTCGTCTTCTTTTTCTCTTTTTTTTTTTTAATATCCTTTTAAAGGAAAAATAATTATGGTGGGTTACCCTTATCACTCAGGGGTATAAGAAATATACAAAGAACTATTCTCATACCTAGCGAATATACACACAAAAATTTCCTATAAATCGGTCAAGTCGTTTTGGAAAATAAGAATAACAAACACTGTGACAGGGGAAATTTTATAGAGATAAGAAGATATAAGTATAATATAGATTTGGTAATTGTAATTTAAACATTTAACTCACACATTAAAACCCAAAACCTATTCCCATCTAACGATCAAACTACTCGTCCTCCCCCTTTTTATATCTTTTTTTTTTTTTTGTTCTCGATATTATCCTTGTCCAAAACTTGCGCGAACTATACTTAAAAGTAAAAGAAAGACATAGAAAAAGGAAAAAGAAATAAGAAATAAGAAACAAAAATATACAAGACTAAAGTAGAAACTGGTGTAATAATAGTAGAATAAAAAAAAAGTACAGCATTGCAAAACAGCAATGGTAACGGTTCCTGCTACTGCTTACTACTATCGTCCTGATACGACAATCGTCTTCTTCTTCTTCTTCTTCTTCTTCTTCTTTTTCTTCTTCTTTGCATAATTTCTCTCCTAGGAGAAAGAACCGGTAAGATTAGGCAGAACGAGGGAAGAAATGAAGGAGAGGAAGGGGTGTTAGAGAGGATTCGCCAAGGGATAAGTTAAACAAAATAAAAAAAATAAAAAAATACTGAAAGAAAAATGGTATAAGAAAAGATTCGAGGTAAAATACAACCTAAATGGGATAAAAAGAGAGAGAGAGAGAAAAATAAAAATAAAAAAAATAAGAGATAGGGGGTAAGAGAGTAGGGGATGGTTACGTCGCTAAACGTAAAGTAAGTTGAAAGAAGATAGAAGAAGAAAAAAAAAGGATATAAAAGATAAAAACTAAGAAGCCGGGAAATAGACCATGAGTTAAAGAGAAAGAAATAGAGAGAGAGAGAGAGAGAGAGAGAGAGAGAGAGATAGAATAAGGATAATAAAATTACACCCTTAAGACAATATACTAAATATATATAGTAAAAGTTAGGTTATATATACCTATATATACTCTTTACCTATAGGTTATATATATATATATATTTATTAATAAATATATATTAATATATTATAATATATAATTATTATATACATATATTATATATAACCTAAATAATATATTTATTATATTATTAATTAATAATAATTAATTATATAATAAATATATATTATTTAATATATATTGGTTATATTATATATTTATTAACATATATATTAGTATATTAAAATATATAATTATTTTATACATATATTATATAAACTTAATTATATAAATATATATATATATATATAGTACCGTAATATATATATATATATAAAACCTAACGCGTAACCTTATATATATATAAGGAAAGTATTGTGTTTTCACGATTTAACAAGTGTGAGAAAGAATAAGAATTAATAAGAATTTCTTTTTGGGGTAGAACGGTAAGTGTAAGGTTAAGGGTAAGGGTAAGGGTAAGGGTAACGCGTAACGGGTAAGGGTAAAAGAGTTTGAAGGGATCACTTGAAGGCCATGGGATACTTTGTTCTCTTTCTTTCTTTATCCTTGGAAAGTTGGAAGGGTTGGAAGGGTTGGAAGGACGATAGTGAGTTAAGCAGTGGTTACGACCTCAACTGGCCGTGTCTTAGACACCCCCTAACCGAAAGGTAATTCTTCCCCGGAAATTGGATCTATGGGATAGGGATTCTTCTCTTCTCACAGTACGATCTTTTGCACCTGATCTTTCCTCTTTAAACTATAAGATAAAA